GAGTTGTGCTGATTCCTCTCACGCTACATTAAGCAAAAAGGTTAGCGGTGACACATGGACCTCAGTGGTCCATCATCCGGATTCACGTCACCTCAATTTTCCATCGCTATTTCCTGGGGTTCGGCGGGACTGACGCTCTCGTGGCAGACGCGTGGCTGCTGAGTGTGTCGCGCGCTAATGGCATCGTGGCCCTCGGGTGAGACACAATCCGATGGAAAGCACCAGAGAAGAGAGAACAGAGGAGGTGTCGCTTTGTCTAATTTAATACTAAATCTGTCTTTAGTAATTATATCAGCTGAATGACTTTTGCTTTACTAATAGCAGTGCAATAATAAAAAAATAATAATATAAAATAAAATATTACATTATAAAATTATATTCATACATAACTATATACAAACTTATATATTAATGTAATATTAATATATTATAATATTATTATTATATTTGCTATAATTAAATAATAATAATAATATTATTACAACAAAAAAAGTAGTATCTTCTGCTCACCAACACTGCATTTGTTTGATCAAAAATATAGTAAAAATTGTGAAATATTATTAAAAATAAAAACAGCTGTTTTCTATGTGAATATCTGTTAAACTGTAATTTATTTCTGTGATCAAATCTAAAAAATTTTAGCATCATTACTCCAGTCTTCAGTGTCACATGATCTTCAGAAATCATAATAACATACTGATTTGCTGCTCAAGAAACATTTCTGATTATTATCAATGTTGAGAACAATTGTGCTGCCCAATATTTTTGTGGAAACAGTGATACATTTTATTTTTCAGGATTCACAGATGAACAGAAAGTTCAAAAGAACAGCATTTATTTGAAATAGAAACATTATATATGTCTTTACTGTCTCTTTTGTGAGTGTTGGCGTATATGACGGTATATATGCAAATATATTGATCAGGTCACACTCACGGGTGATGATGTAATCTTGTGTCAGCGTCTCGGCGTGTTTCTCCTTCCTCTTGCTCTTGACCACACACAACATCGCACCTCTGAAGGACAAAACACAGAAAATAGGATATTAGCTTCTAAAATAAGAGAAAGCATGCTTTAAAATAAGCTAAACAACTAAAGACCAAGACATCAGCTTCCACAATGTTTCTTATTTTAATTAATTCCCTAAACAACTGTTTTTGTTTTTTTAAAAGAAAACCTGAATTCTCACAGTCTTGGAAAACCTGAATATATTTTATATATATATTTTAATAAATTAATTAATAAAATAATTTATAAAAATTTTTTAGACCTGGAAAATTCATGGAAATTTAGAAACGTCCTAAAACATCCTGACAATCTTAAAAAATGAACTGGAAATCTGAATTGTAGAATTATTATTATTATTATTATTATATCAATTAATTATATTAGCACTCCTAGTTTTAGTTAAAAACATAAAAACATTTGCATGATCACTATCGTGCAAACATGCTGTATTGAAAAGAAATGCATGAAAATTTATGGAAAAAAAAAATTATTATATTTACATGTGTGATTTTCAGATAATGGAAATGAATAAACTTCTTAACATGTCATGGTGATTTCTATAAATATAAATATTCTAGTCATGACAAGTTCTAAAATATTTTTTCGGGTATAAATTGCTATTTGAGTAAATAATAATAATAATAAACATGAACTAAAGGAAAGCTGAATTAAGTAATTTAATTATTATTATATGTATTATTTTAATATGTTATCACCCCTAGTTTAAGAAACAATAATAATAATGTTATTATAATTATATATATTTCACAGAATTCTCTGGATCTTGGAAAACCTGGATAAATGAAGGAAGTTTAAAGGTGATTTCTAAACCTGGAAAAGTCATGGAAATTAATAAACATCTTTAAAAGTTATGGAAATTTCTATTATAAACATATTTAAACTGAGCTCTGTTCTTCAGAAAGATCCTCCAGCTCCTGCAGATTCTTCAGTTTTCCAGCATCTTCTGCAGATTTCAACCCTTTCCAGCAGTGACTGTATGATTTTGAGATCCATCTTTTCACTCTGAGGACAACTGAGGGACTCAAACACAACTATTAAAAAAGGTTCAAACATTCACTGATGCTCCAGAAGGAACCACGACGCATTAAGAGCCGGGGGTGAAAACTTTTGAATTTGAAGATCAAGGTAAATCGTACTTAATTTGTCTTCCAGGAAACATGCAAGTATCTTCTGTTGCTTCCGATGGGCAAAACTAAATGGAAAAAAAAATGATATTTCAACAAAATAAGAAAAATTTGGACATCATCCTGTTCAAAAGGCTCTTAATGCGTCGTGTTTCCTTCTGGAGCATCAGTGAATGTTTGAATCTTTTTTAATAGTTGTGTTTGAGTCCCTCAGTTGTCCTCAGAGTGAAAAGATGGATCTCAAAATCATACAGTCACTGCTGGAAAGGGTTGAAATCTGCAGAAGATGCTGGAAAACTGAAGAATCTGCAGGAGCTGGAGGATCTTTCTGAAGAACAGTGCTCAGTTTAACTGTTCAGAACAAACAAGGGACTCATGAACAAGCATCACAAAACACACAAACAGTCGTGGATCATCCAGGTGACACACACAGTATGAAGAACTTTTGAAGAGGGTTATTTTAATAATTTCAGCTATTTTTTTGTCTATAAGTAAACATCTTTTATGTAAAATATCTTACTCAGGACAGTACTACATAAAAAATAACATGCATTTTGTATGATCTCTCTTATTTTGTTAAAATTATTCACATTTTCACAGATTCTGCAAGGGGTTCCCAAACTTTCCCATGCCACTGTATATATAGCGTGAAAGCCTTTCTTGTGCTTGTCAACAGGACGTGACTTTGATGTAAACGTGCAGACAGTTGATTCTGCTCTCAGTCGACACTAATGCAGTCGTTTTGTTGAGTTTCCTCGCTTCAGTCGGTCAGTTCAATCAGTTCAAACCCGGCTGAAATCGTTACTGAACAAACACAGACGGAAAAACAGGGAAGAGTGTGAAGCGGGACTGAGACGGACAGCAAAGCAACTGCACCTCTGACTCTTGACCGGGTCGTAGTAGACCTTCGCCTGGCCGTTCCCCGTCCCGACCATGATCTGATTCAGCTTGGGATGCCAAAGACAGCGGACGACGCTCTGAAACAACAGCAGATGAGAACTCATTATTTGAGCAGGAAGTCAGCATAAAGCAATGGCAGAGGAAAAGACTGCGTCTAATATCTCTCTCCGTCCGGCTCATCTCCAGTTGACTATATTTGGATCTGGATCTCAAAGACTCGCTGTGACGAATGGGCCGCTGCCAGGGCCGTGTGTGAGGATTTGTGTGTGTGTGTGTGTGTGTGAGACGGAGGAACAGACTCCTGAATAACTGCAATCACATGCATGCAGCGCACGTCTATATGATGACGGTTTATAGTGAGCACGTCCAGAAAGGACAAAAGAGCACCATTAAAGTCAGAAAAACACCAAAAAGGCCCGTTACATTCTTACAAGCTTGTGACTGGTGAAAGTCCAACCCAACAAGCAAATAAATACAGCAGATTAATATAATATCATTTAAAACAGTAGTAGTAGTAGCAGTGGTAGTAATAGTAATAATTATTATTATATACTTTTTATTATTATTATTATTGTTGTATATTTACCATAATGACATATTATCATTATTATTCAAAAGTTCTATGTAAGATATAATCTAAAAATATAATAAATATAAAAAATAAAATCAATAAGTAGAATAAAAGTGATAATATATTTGTTTGCAATTATGAAACATTAATTAAACATAATATTTATCATAATAACAATTATTTAATAATTTATACAAAAAATAAAATAAATGAAAGTTTGGATCAAATGAGGGTAAGTGAATAATGAAGCTGTAAAGGAAAAGACATGATCACTGTTATGCAAACATGCTGTAATGAAATGTAAGAAAATACCACAAAATAAAATAAATATAAATAAATGAAATAAAAAAATAAAATAAATATAGGTTTGGATCAAAACGAGGAGAAAATATGTCACCACTGTCATGCAAACATGCTGCACTGAAATGAATGAAAATACCACAAAAATAAGTAAAATAAAATAATAAAATAAACATCACTGTCATACAAACATGCTGCATTAAAATTTATGAAAATGCCACAAAAATAAATAAAATAAATATTGTCATGCAAACATGCTGCACTGAAATGCATGGAAATACCACAAAAATAAATAAAATAAAATAAAATAAAAATAAATTAATAAAAAATAAAATAAACATCATTGTCATGCAAACATGCTGCATTGAAATGCATGAAAATACTACAAAAATTAAATAAAATAATCAAATAAAATAAACATCATTGTCATGCAAACATGCTGCATAAATAAAATAAAATAAAATAAAATAAAATAAAATAAAAATAAAATAAAACAATTAGGTCAGGATGAAAATGAGCGCAAGTAAATAATGAAGCTGTACAGGAAAACCAAAAGAATAAGCAGCAGGTATTGGGAGTCCAAATGCACTTTAAGAATGATCTCTTGAGATGAGATAACAGCACAAGAGGAGCATAATAAATCATGCTATGTCCAAGAAACTCTTTCCAAACAGATCTTGCGGTGTATGCAGTGTTGAGATCAGGAAAAACCAGCGGAGGCATGGGGGTGAAATCTGCTTAGCCTCCAGCTGTTCAGCGCCGGGCTCGTTTCTGCCTGAATCCTCCAGCCGGACTGCGTTAAGCCTGCCTGACCTAGAATCCGGCTTTAGACCCTCTCCCTCCCCCAGGACCGTAGCAGGGGTTTCTCTGGCCCTTATTGACTTAACGGGATGTATGGGGTTAATCCGTCTCTATGGGCATGTGACCGAGTAATTGATTATTTAGAGAAGATCTGGAAGATTTGGCTGCGGATCTGAAATGCGCTTCCAGCTGAGCCTTTTTTGGCCGAATACAAACGTAATCTCCTTTAGTCGCTCCATTACCTTGCAGATACTGTATCATGGGGTTTAGATCATGCACATCTGTATATCTGACCTCTCCATTACTCTTAATCGTGCAACACAGAGACCCTGGGTAAGGAAAGCAAACATCAGGACAAGCAACACATGGGAACTGTCGAAAATAGCGATATATGCATGCATCTACGGCTGTTCATCATGTGCCAGAGAAACAAACACTCACAATGCACAGTATTTATGTGCAGCTCAAATGTTTCTACAAGCACTAGGAGGAATGATAATAATGGCGATTTGAGTGAATCAGATCTTTCTTGAGCACATTTACTGCGGTTTTGGCAAAGACTGAAGTGACATTTCAGCATCATATTCAATCTTCCATCTTTTCTAAACAAAATAAGCTGTTTACTGACTGGATGAGTGTGTGCCAAACTCGACCCAACATGGCGCCCATTCACCCAGGAGACACAAGGATGCTTTCACGTCACACAATAAAAAATAAATAAATATAAACAAACAAATAAATAAAAAAGTAGCAATAATAATAATAATGTGAAAGACTATTTTTACTTAATAATGGAATTATATTTACATACATAGATATGTATACAGTATACGCACATATAAAATATACATAAAATTATATGATATATAATTATATACTATATCTATAAAATAATTCACTTTTAATTTAAATGTAATATATAAACAATGTATATACCATGCAAGATACATAAAATAATTCAAGAATGACTATATATTAATTTGCAATAAATAATAATAATAACAACAAATCAATATTAATTTAAATGAAGAAAAATTAAATAGATATAATAATAATAACAGTAATAACAATAATAATAATTTAACTACATTGCAACCAGACACAAGGTCACTTTCAAGTCACAGTTTGATTTGTTTTGTTGATGTAAAAGGGTTTTCCAACTCCGATTCAAACCAGTGAAAAGATATGCAATGAAATAAGGTTTAGACTAAAAAATACACTTGCGGACGCAGGAGAAGAGGGGTGAAAACAGACTAAGACATGAAGGTCACCTGGAGTCTGTCTTAACACTAACAAGCTTTTAGCATAAAGTTTAGATTTTAGTTCTAGGTTTAGTCTTTCTGTGCAAGTCCAGAGCACGACTTGCTTCGTAGCACCGCTCAAAGAAAACTTCAAAGACACTTAAATAAACACTATATTGCTTCAATCTGAGGAGCACTGGATCTGATTTAGTTTTCTGAAAATTGTCAGCGTAACAGTGGTAAGAGATACTGTACTTCTTAAAGATGTAACTCGAAGAAAGCATATATAGGGAAAGCAACAGTGGTCCCAGAATAAACCCCTGGGGAACACCACATACTAAAGAGGCTGACATGGAGGAAAAATGTTCTATATTCACAGCAAATGTCCTATCCTTTTGATAGGAGGCAAACCACTCTGAGAAACCTACAAAGACACTTAAAATAAACACTATATCACTTCAATCCCAGCAGCACTGGATCTGTTTTAGTTTTCGGACATCAAGGCACATTCCAAATGTCACTGGAAAATAAAATTGAAAATGGTCAGTGTAACAGTAGTAAGAGATATTGTACTTCTGAAAGATATAATTTAAAGGAAGTATATAAAAGGAAAACAACAGTGGTCCCAGAATCGAACCATGGGGAACACCACATACTAAAGGGGCCAGCTTGGAGGAAAATTTGCTTTATTTACAGCAAATGTCATGTCCTTTAGACAGGAGGCAAACCACCCTGAGATACCTACAAAAAACACTTAAATAAACATTATAACACTTCAGTCTGAGCATTCCCGGATCGGTTTTAGTTTTCGGACATACAGCCGCATTCCAAATGTCACTGGAAAATAAAACTAAAAATCGTCAGCGCAACAGCGGTAAAAGATACTGTACCTCCGAAAGATGAACCTCAAAGGAAGCATATATAGGGAAAACAACAGTGGTCCCAGAATCGAACCCTGGGGAACACCACATACGACAGGGGCCGAAAAACTTCCTATATTCACAACAAATGTCCTATCCTTTAGAGAGGAGGCAAACCACTCTGAGATACCCACAAAGACAGTTAAATAAACACTATATCACTTCAATTCAAGCAGCACTGGATCGGTTTTAGTTTTCGGACATCAAGCCACATTCCAAATGTCCAATGCAGAGGGAGCAGCAGGCGTCCTGGAGGACGCACATGTCTCACCTGGTTTTTGCACCTTGTGAAAAAGTCAGCAAAGCTGAGAACCACCCCTGGAGTATTTACTCTTTCCAGCCTGGAGATGTGTCTACGTCCCGGCACAGAGCGCGACCCCGCTGCGGGGTTACGGCCTGTGTTTACACTTGAATGATTGGTAGCTCTTCCTGTCACAGGACGGCCTGGTGCTGCACTTCATAAAGACAGCACTTAAATTCTTCAGCCGTCTTGCGCTGGATAAACACTGTAAATAGCTCCTCGTCAGGTCAGCTATAAATCACTTTAGTCTTCTGGACGGGCCAAAAGTTTTTTCAGCGAACAAGAGCCATCCACCACTGCTAATGTGATTCTACCGATGCCGGACATAAATTATGGGGGTATTTTGCAGTTTGGCAGAATAAATCAGTATTTATCGTCATTGTATGGAAAAGAGAAGCTCGCACATATTGTCTAATGTCTTAGTTAATGCTTCATAATATTAAAGAAAAATAATATTATTATTTAGATGAAAATTATTAAAAATATGACAAAAAGGTGATGTGACATGCTTTTCATTTTAGGATAAAATATTACAGTTGTACCGACAATCTTGTGAAAACACAACACAATCAAATAATTATTGCAGATTTCTGTATAAATAAATAAATAATTAAATTAATTCAATTCTATAATTTTTTAACTGGTAAACAATCAATAAAACAATTAATTAGTGCAGATTAATAATAATAATAATTATGTGTGTGTGTGTATATATATACAGTACATGTATATATATAATCGAACCCTGGGGAACACCACATACGACAGGGGCCGAAAAACTTCCTATATTCACAACAAATGTCCTATCCTTTAGAGAGGAGGCAAACCACTCTGAGATACCCACAAAGACAGTTAAATAAACACTATATCACTTCAATTCAAGCAGCACTGGATCGGTTTTAGTTTTCGGACATCAAGCCACATTCCAAATGTCCAGTGCAGAGGGAGCAGCAGGCGTCCTGGAGGACGCACATGTCTCACCTGGTTTTTGCACCTTGTGAAAAAGTCAGCAAAGCTGAGAACCACCCCTGGAGTATTTACTCTTTCCAGCCTGGAGATGTGTCTACGTCCCGGCACAGAGCGCGACCCCGCTGCGGGGTTACGGCCTGTGTTTACACTTGAATGATTGGTAGCTCTTCCTGTCACAGGACGGCCTGGTGCTGCACTTCATAAAGACAGCACTTAAATTCTTCAGCCGTCTTGCGCTGGATAAACACTGTAAATAGCTCCTCGTCAGGTCAGCTATAAATCACTTTAGTCTTCTGGACGGGCCAAAAGTTTTTTCAGCGAACAAGAGCCATCCACCACTGCTAATGTGATTCTACCGATGCCGGACATAAATTATGGGGGTATTTTGCAGTTTGGCAGAATAAATCAGTATTTATCGTCATTGTATGGAAAAGAGAAGCTCGCACATATTGTCTAATGTCTTAGTTAATGCTTCATAATATTAAAGAAAAATAATATTATTATTTAGATGAAAATTATTAAAAATATGACAAAAAGGTGATGTGACATGCTTTTCATTTTAGGATAAAATATTACAGTTGTACCGACAATCTTGTGAAAACACAACACAATCAAATAATTATTGCAGATTTCTGTATAAATAAATAAATAATTAAATTAATTCAATTCTATAATTTTTTAACTGGTAAACAATCAATAAAACAATTAATTAGTGCAGATTAATAATAATAATAATTATGTGTGTGTGTGTATATATATACAGTACATGTATATATATATATATATATATATGTGTGTGTGTGTGTGTGTGTGTGTGCATGTGTGTATATATATATATATATATATATATATATACATACACACACACACACACCAATAATGAAATATCAGATTAATTTATATATAAAATATTATGAAATAAATGTACAAAATTAATATTTAAAATGTTGTTAATTTGCAATAATGATAACAAACAAATGAATGAAAATATAATGAAAAATAATTTGCAATTATACCAGATGTAATTCTTCAGTGAAGCTCTAAATGAGAAATTTTTGAATATGTGTGAGCTTCTTTTTTCAAGAGTAATGGATGCTGATCCATTCTGCCAAACTCCAAGACAACTGGAAGAAGGATGATATACTACTACTACCACTAATAGCAAAATGCACCAATCCAAAACATTATTTTCTTTAACAGTAACAAAAAAAAAATGTTTAGTTTTTTTTTTTTGGACAATGTCTGTGATTCATCACACAAATAATATTATGTACTTCTGATTAATGCTACTGCTGCTGCTCCATGGTTTCTGTGCTGCATGTATTCAGTGTGCTGGACGTCAACATCTGCATTATGCCATACTGTCAGCTTCAAGACAAGAAGCAACCTGGGATGGAGAGAATTAGCTTTTACGCTGTTCTGACTAGAGCCGGAGCGCTGGGACTGAGAGAAACCCACTCAACAGCACATTTGATCACAGATGGCCACGGGAGCTTTGAGCCGTCACTCAGATGTGCCTCTGAAAGAGCTCCCAGAGACACTTCACTCGCTTCAGACGAATCCAGCTCTCAGGAGCGCTGGGATGCTTGTCGAGGTCACGCTTGTGTCATTCCAGCAAATGGATGGAGAAAGACAACGTTCCCTTCACTTCCATAGGGACGAATGAACAGGCGGAAAGTTTCACTTCCTGTCTGCAGTTGCACAAGTAATCTAACAGTACAGCATTTACCAAGTAATGTAAGACCGCAGTCTTCCTGGACAGAGTTTCCATTACTAGAGAAAATCATATTATTTGGACGCCTCGGTTCTCTCAGTTCTAGATACTGTAACAATGTACATAACCGGAGCTGCCAGTACATGCACATCTGACAATCAAATAAACAAAGAAATATAGCAGATTAATTATACTATATTCATTCGAAATGATATAATAATAATACTACGATTAAAACAAAGCATAATATATTCAGATTAATGTAACAGTAATAATAAATTACACACACTCACACACATATACAGTATATATATATATATATATATATATACACACATACACACAGTATATATTAGTATTTTAATATGCATATATATATATATATATATATATATATGCATATTAAAATACTAATATATACTGTGTGTATGTGTGTATATATAAAATATTTATGAAATAAACGTAGCCAATCATATGACTGAAAACACTGAAAATCCTTAATTTGCTGGTGAGTGAATCTGTCCCATACTGCATTGCACTTCGTCAAATCATGTTTTGTGATCTGGAAACATTATTAGTATCGACACAGCGCTGCATAATGTATAATTTTCACCATGAGAGCAACACAGAAGTGCGTCAAACCTACCGCATCAGCCACTTCAATCTCATAGACCTTCTGCAGAGATTCCCGCTCAAAGAACAGCAGCTTCCCGTTGCCTTCGTCCTTCTTCACCGAGGTTCCCGTCAGCAGCAGTTTATCATCCGGACTGAAGCAGCAGTCTGTCCTGTTCAGAAAACATCCATCAGCACAGTTACAGGAGAGAAACCCTTCACATTCATAAAGACTTGCACTACACTTCACAATCTGCTGTGCTTTCACGCATAATGCTAAGCAAACAGTATTAACATAATGCTCACAGGTTCCCAGCAGTGTTGTTATAGTTAACTAAAACCAGTAAAAAATATCAGATGAAAAACAAACAAAAATAAATGAAACAAAAATGAGAAATGTTGCCAAAATAAAAAAATGGATAAGTTGAAGTACTAAAATCACTAAAAGATAAAAAAAAATGTTGAGTTGAAAAAGTAACCGCCACCCCCCCCAAAAAATAAAATAAAAATAACAAAAGCACATCACAAAATTCTTAAAATTTAAACTAAATGATAACTGAAATATAAAAATAAAATTTTATTCAAAATATAAATTACTATTATTATAGTATATACTGTACTATAACAATAGCAAAATAATATCTGGCTAATGATTTTCGTTAATTAGTCCATTATAATGCATCATATGTGTGTGTGTGTGTACATATATAATAATAATAATAATAATAACAACTATTATTATTATATATATATTTGTTTTAAAAAAACATAAATATTTGAAAATTATTATTATTATCATATATTATTATTATCATCATCATTACATAATTTGTATTTGCTATTAATTATTCTGAATAAATTATTTAATATGCAGAATATATATTAATTATTAAATAAAAGTGCAGATTTAGCAAATTTCGCATGTCAATGCAGGACCTGCTTCCCAAAAGTACTCAATTCCCATAATAAGGCTAATAATTAGCAAAACATCTAGAGACTGGTCAGACTGATCAAGACGCACAATCTGTAAACAGCTCATAATGAATTTTCTTCACATTATTTGCAGGAGAAGTGTTAAGAGTGCAAAAGTTTCCCTTTACATGGGGAAGAAGGAGCTCAGGCCAGTAACAGCGGCGAGAGGTTTCCTGAAGTTGCGTATGTCCCACGTCTTCAGCGTGTCGTCTCCTGAAAACACACACAGAACAGAATCAGAGCTGAATCAGCGTCGTTGTGCATCTGCGTGAGTCAGAGTCTGATTCCTTACACACTTCCACACCAAACACAAGACACATTATTATCTGCACACAAGTCCGCTTTGTGCTCGCATCGAGCATATTCCAACGGATTCAATATATTTTAGCATTTAAACCCCACAAATTCAGCTGTCAAGGTCAATGCAGAATAGCGGTGGGTGGAATGAATAAAATCATATGAATAATTTTATATCAAATTAAAGGAACACTCCACTATTTTTGAAAATAGGCTCATTTTCCGACTCCCCTAGAGTTACACAGTTGAGTTTTGCCGTTTTCGAATCCATTCAGACGATCTCCGGGTCTGGCGGAAGCACTTTTAGCTTAGCTTAGCATAGATCATTGAATCTGATTAGACCGTTAGCATCTCGCTCAAAAATGACCAAAGAGTTTCGATATTTTTCCTATTTAAAACTTGACTCTTCTGTAGTTACATCATGTACTAAGACCGACGGAAAATGAAAAGTTGTGATTTTCTAGGCCGATATGGCTAGGAACTATACTCTCATTCCGGCGTAATAATCAAGGAACTTTGCTGCCGTACCATGTGTGCAGCAGGCGCAATGATATTACGCAGCGCCTGAAAATAG